GTGTAATCTTCACTATTTTGCAGTTAATAAACATACATACATATGTGATTTAATCAGTAAATCAACTGAAAATATATGAGTCAATACATCAACTACAAACTTCTTTGAAATACAGTGAAGCAAAAATAGAAGTAGTTAATTGGAAATTATTACATTTTATGCAAAGGAAGGAGAAAAATTATTAAATTGTATTCTAGCTATTTATCTAGAAAGTGAAACTTGGCCTCACTTACTTAACAAGCGAGAGCTAAAATAGAGAATTTATTATATTATAGTCGCAATATTCAGTCGTTGGCGAGAGCATCAGTAGTTAAAATTGCCTCCTTTTTCCTCCCAAGAAAGGAGAGAGCTGATTGATGTATAATGTTTGTTTGGTTTATGGCATTATATTTTTAGCTTTCATTTGGTTTCGCCTCCATGTTTTTAATAGAAACCAAATGAATTTAGGCTGTGACTGAATTTTGTCTTAACAAAGAATTCTATTGATACAGAGTTTAAGATCTATCATCACAGAGTTCAGTAGAAAAGAGCAGCTCCCAAATAAGCCCAATAAGAAAGATACTTGCATATAAATGTGTGTCTATGTGAACATACATAGAAAAATTAGAAAATTCATCAAAATTATATATAAATAAATAGAATGTAAGGATAAAGTCTTGGATTTGGGATTTTTTTGAACTATTCTAACTGAAAGTTTATGTGCTTTGTGTGTAAGTCTCATTGGTTGATAGAGCCCAGGTGCAAATAAAATCTCCATCAGGAGTTGTAATTTTCTGTTATTTTATACTACAATAGAGAAGGGCCCATATGCAGCTGGTTTTTGTCTCTTATGTCTCCCTCTTTTCTCCGTTTTGTTCAATCTCAATGGATAAGTAAGCATTAGGAAAAATGAAACTAATGATTACCAAAATAAAAAGAATTTTAAACAGCAAAAGAAAACAACTGTTACGTAGCACTTTCTTCACACACCTGACCAAACTCTTAAAATAATAGAAAACAGATGTTAAATCATAAACAAAATACAGCTTTTACTCTTCCTTCTTTACTTTACAATTACTGTTTAAACTTTAGCTCAGCAGCTCGCAATGTCAGACCTCCAATCCTTGATATCGTGACCCCTCATAGGGGTCACTCCTCCAGTGGAGGAGCTGAGAGTGTGTACTATGCAGTAACTTCATTCTCTATTTCTATGAATTTTATGAATTAACATCCACTATATCTCCCTGCCTGCTCAGAAAAACTTTTTATTTACTGACACTTTCAGTCTTGACCATCAAAATTCTGCTTGCTGATCTCTCTGTCCCTGGATACCAGATCGGCAAGGCTGTCACTGCTTCAAAATTTCATATTTCTCCATGCTTCTGTCAGGGAGGATTTAACTTGTGCTTTGGAGTGCTGGGGGAGAATGTGTTAGTGAGAAGTGGTGGGTAGTTCCTGTTGATACAGTGCTTTTCTGCTTTTGGTAGTTGTTTTTTACAGTGCATTGAAAATATATTGTACTTTTGCCATTTAAAATACGGGTAGAAAAAATTTATTGTTGTAAATAGTAAATTTATAGTTGTCACCAAGTTGTTTGGTTAACATGAAATTTCATTCTTTCTTTAAGAAAGAAGGCAATATCATTGCTTTAGAGAATGTAAATACAAAGTGTGACGGAAAAATTAACAGTTTTATAGGAAATTAACTTTGGCTTGACTTCAGTTCTTCTATCCAAACTGATGTAGTAATGCTGAATAACAATTTCTGAATATATTTCTGCCACCCTAAAACAAGGGTAATTATATTTATTTGTGTATATATATATATATATATATACACACAAAGTATGTTACTGAAGATATGCATAATACAGATTTTAGTGTGATTGTATGCGTAAGTAGCTGCAGATATTGTTGTTGGTGCCTGAATATGCAACAGCTACAGCTTTTTTGATTGCATACTCGTTTGAAGCCTGTACCTGCATGGCTTAGGATTTTGATAATGGTCAGGGGAAGCAGTGGCCAGGAGTTCAAGTATTTCCTTACCTTGTGTTGGGTGCCTTGCTTGACACACTCGATCTGGTTCCCAGAGGTGTGGAAGGCCAGACAGTTCCTGAACCAACACTTTTCGTTTAAGTGACCACCAGAGGTTGCTGCAGAACGGCAGACGCAGCTGGGGATAGGTTTTGAATTCAAAGCTGAATCCTGAATTTAGAAAGAAATCTTACAGTTTGGGTTCTGATGTGCTTATATTCCTTTCAAATGGAGTTGAAGCAGAGGTTAACTCTGACTTCTTGTATATGTTTATTTCGTTATACAAAAATGTACTTCTCTGTGTGCCAGAATAATTGTGGGGACCAATTGGTTCAGCATCCATGTCTCTGTAACTTTGTGTGAAGGAGGTTCTTAACAGTGAAAATTAATTCTTCTAGCGTGTACTTTGACAGCACTTGAAACTTTGTTTTGTTAAAAAAGTAAAGACATTTTTTAGGAATTTTTAAAAATCAATTGCTGTTCTTGATTATGTATTACTCATGTTTATATCTTTGATCAGCTCAATAAACTTGTACATTATGGGAAAAATTAGCTTCATCGTTACACACATGTAACAATTCTTAAATGGTTCAGTATGCGTTAGAAACGAAACAATTAAATCAAGAAGTAGACCTAAAAACTACGGGACAAAATTACCTGGCACAATGTACTCAAGAGGATAAATGGTACGAATTGCACGGTATATTTGTAATAATGTGACATCACACACAAATATACACTATTTCAGTCTTTTCAGAAAGTATGTTGTGGCAAAAGTACACCAGACTTTCTGACGCATACTATCAAGCACTTTCATTGTTTAGAATGCAATAATACTTTAAGCACCTTTATTTTTTTAACTTAATGTCTGTTTCTATGAGTCTGTAAACCTGTCCTTATGTGAGTTGAAATTATGCTTTTGTGTCTAGGACTTGCATGCTCAATTACATTAAGTGAATTTCTGTGTTTGGAAAGCAATAGGAAAATGCGCTTTCTGATTAAGCATAGTTCCCATATACTCCCTCACAAGAATGAAAGCTATAATTTTTCTAAATATCAGTTACAGCTAATGAGTTATTCTGTGAGTGTGTTTAAAACAAGTAGGATTGTGTGTAAAGAATTCAGCAGCAGTCTCTCAAAGCTATGATTTTACACTAAATGAAGATACAAGTGCTTTATGTAGATCGAGTCAAAGAAATGCTTGTAAAACCTTTAATGCCACATCATCATTTATGATGCATATGCAAAAAGAAAAAAAAAAGAAATATTTAAAGTCTATTTTATCCAAGAAATTAGATGGAAGGAGTTCAGATGGAGCTTTAGAAAATCAAGAAATGAGAAGTAATTTCTCTGTAATTAAAATTTAGCTACTGAGTCACTTTCAGGCTGTCCTGGGGCTTAGAAGCTAGTGCCTGGTTTTGTTTGGAAAAGATTATTCCTTTCTTCATCTTGTGCTCTGCTACATGTACAACAGGGCTGCAAACCAGTAAGTCTGCTGACGTTCAGCATACAAAGAACGTCACACAAGAAGTAATGTCCATGTGAAACTCGAGAATGTGTATTTTCTGAGGATGGAAAATTTATAGAAAGGTGTTAGGAACAGGATCACTTTTCTCATTCCTTCTTGAGATAGAACAATGGGATTTGGAAAATTGGAGTAATTCCTTGAATAGATAACTATTTATAGGAAGTTTGGTCTAAATTGCAGCTTATGGGTTTTAAAGAGCTGGGCTGGAGCTCAGGGACATCTTGTTCAAGGTCATGAGAGCTTAGTCCTGTCTTCAGCACTCACATAGGAAGCACTCATATTCTGATTCCCAGATATGTCAGTAATGGGAAGGAGAGGCATGTATTTGGTTAGAAGTTTTTTTATTTAAAAGTCAAATGTCTTCCTTTTAAAAACTTGAGGCTGAGAGTCATTGGTACCTTATTTTCAGTAGTCTAGAATACCCAATTCTTGTGGTTTCATATATAATATAAAAGACCACTTTGTCTCTAGAAGGAGAGCTCTTTGAAATGTAAGCTACACAATTACCAAAAGTAGTTCCAGCATCTGTGCTTGTGGGCTGTTTATTTACTGGTTCTAAAGAAATGGCAAAGGTTTCATAGAAAATATCAAAATAGAATCAGATATCTCCAGAAAGAGTACTATGAATCTGTAACAGTTGTTTCAGGGTATCACCAGACAGGTAGTAATCCCAGTAATTAATGTCTTCATTTCATGTTCAAAAATAAGTATTTCTAAATAACCTAAAATAAAGGAGAGAAAAATCAAAGTTTTGGTGTATAGATATATAAAATTATATTTGTATGTAAATGTATGTTTCACATTTAAAATCTTTTGCATAGAAATGTGTACTAGCTGTGCCATTGGCTAGGACAAGGGCAACAGCGCATACGTACAACTGCATTTCATACACTGGTAGTAGACTTTTCTTAGTTGTGTGCATTCTTGACTTACATGCTTCTCTTTTAGCTGGGTAATTGACAGCCACTTTTGTCTATATTTAAGGTAATAAACTAGTGAAGCTTCTGTTAGTTGAGGGTATGAGCCCTTTTACCAGGTATGCCTCTGAGAAATCAGTAAATGTTTTCCTTAGCTGCAGCTTTATCCTTCAAGTCAAGTCTTAGTGATGAATTAAAGGGCTTCCAGCAAAGAAACTTGGCATGTTGAAAAACCCGTGTGATACAGACGAATGTGTGCGCTCCAGTATCGAGGAGAACCACTACAAACCCTGTTACAGGGAAACATTAAGCCTAATTAATCTGCCAAAGAGCATGATCTCAAGTCTAGGAAAAGATTAGTCAGGCCAGGCTGAACTAGAATAAGCAGCAGAAGGTGATCTTTGAGGAGGAAATTGAGCTAATTTTCCTACTTTGAAGTAGAAGACAATTGCTTGAATAAAAATGTTCTTGAAAGAATGTTTGTATGTTTTCACATGTGGTGGTCCATATTTCTATGCCTTATTTTATTTCCCTTGCCCACAGGAAATCCATCTTGCTTTTCTGAAATGGCTTGAGGGAAATGTAGATGCTGAAGGATTAAGAGCATCCAGCAAGGTGTCTCTTAAATTTGTTTCATCCTGTGATCCAAAAATGGAGGTAACTCCATCTCTCATGCCTGTCGTCACTGAGATGAGAAGCTTCTCATCAGGACATTTCAGCCTGAACACATATCAACAAAATCTTCAAACAAAGAAGCTTGGAAAGATTATTCTTTTTGCTGAAGTTACCACAACAACAATGAATCTTCTAGATGGGTAAGATAGCAATCTAGACCCTACCAAATAAGTTTTCTGATCCGGAATTCACAATTATAGTAACACACAATGTTCATAAAGAAACTTTTTTCTCTTTGGTTTATTTGTTGGCTACAAGCTAGCCAAATTAAAAATAAGATTATTCTTTTGTAGATGGGACACAAAACAGAGATCTTTGTGTTCACAGAGTATTAATTTGTAATGTATAAAATGCTAAGTCATAAAGGGGGGAAAATCTTGACTTGGCGGTGGAGTTTAATCGTTATTCCTCTTGCAAAGCATGAACATCACCATAGGAAAGTTTAAGGTATTAGAATGAAAATTTAGGGGATTATATGCATTTTCTAGTACAAGTTATTTTCTAAGCTAGTTATTTGACAAAAGTGATACTAAGTAGGTTGTGGCCTCAATTTTAACGCTACTGTTTACTGAATATTTCTGTAAAATGCTCTTTAGTGGTTTGTTGGGTTTTCTTAAGCATTGATTAGAGTTATGCTAGACATTCTTTAATCATCACATAGATGACTCTTGTGAATAAGTTGTGGGATACCTTTGAGAAGGTAGTTCATTAGAGTTTTGAACGGGATTAAGCGATATGAAAATCACAGTTACTAAATCTTAGGTCGGAGTCTATGTACAAAGACTATACTGTTATATTTCATGAAATAGTCTGATGGAAAAAACTGTCTTTGGGAAGTTGTTGCTCTTCAGGACAGATTTTCTGTGTGTGTTTCTACCTGCAGCTATAACTTTTCTTGACAGCTACTTTTGAGAATCAGTGTTAATTTATCTGCAGAAATTGCAGATTAATTTTACTGTTGAAAGTAACTGCAGGAGTTTTGTTCTGGATTTTTTTTTCAATCAATATCATCAGTTAAATCTTCTTGAATGTTGTTATAACTGATCAGTTAACCAGCAATAGCAGCTTTACTTCGCAGTTAGAGAGCCTGAATTGTGAGACTGATATAAGTTACAGAATATGCCTTCTTGCAAGCAATAAGGGTGATTTGTTTTAGAATATATGCACACAAAATCTGTGAACGAGGATGCATTATAACAGCATTGAAGTAAATCAGTTTGTAGTCTTACAGTTAACACTGTGATAGAATTTACAAGTGATAATTTGTGCTAAAATATTGCAATTTAGAGATGGTTGGAATCAAATACAAATTTCTTTTAATTCCAAGCTGTTCTCTGTGTGTACATATGCACCCATGTGCACACACATTAAAAAAATTTGTGCTGATTTTGCCACTTGCCTTCCCTCAGATCTACATCCTTATCCTGCAACTGATTTTGCAGTGGTCTTCGGACATAGATAGAGTTACTAGTTTGAAAAAAGCCACAAGAAAGAGTTATTTTATAGCAACATGTGTAGCATTTGCTTCTTAATGTTTAGTATTCACAGCATATTCAGCCCATTGGATAGAAAGCAGAACTACTGTGAAGAAACCGACACAGCAATAATTTAATAGGTCAAGACCTTTCTTCCCTGACAGTTGTTTTTGGTGGTCGTTCTCAGTAACATTATTCAGTCATCTCAGTAAGATGAAGTATATAATTTGGAGTTATGTGAACTTGTTTAGATATCACAAGCTAAATAGAATAATGTCTGGCCAATTTATATATGATTATATTATCAAGAAAGGCAAGGGAGCTAAGAGAAGTGGTTTTGGTTTTTCAGTTACTGTGGAATCTTTACTCTCTTATCTTTAAAGCGCTGTACCAGCAGAGTGGTCAGCACTCAGGTTGCTTTTTTACATTAAGTAGCCCAAATGTAATGAAGTGTTTACAGATGTAGGCCTTCAAGATTTTCCCCATCATGATTTAGCTCGAGTAGTCAGGTAACATGTAAACCAGAAGCCCTGGCTCTAAGTAGCTTATACTGGGAAGATGATCCTAGTCAGATTGCAATTTGAACAATTTAATTTATTTTACAGAAAGACCTTTGTTTTAATAAGTTAAAATCTTTGTCTTCAGTATTACGGTTGTTGTTATTGTAAATACTTTGTTGTCATGGATAGTAGAATAATATGGTCCATGTGATTCGCAGTTCAGCAGACTACCTTGAGACTTTACCGATTATAACGTTTCTTAAATCACTAGAAATTGATGTAAATACCTATTAGGCAATTTTTATTGAAGAAAAAAGATGTCAGGTTTTTAAGGCACTTCCAAATGAGCCAGTATGAATTTGTTAGGATATGTGTATGTCACTTTTTTCTAATTACCAATTTTGAATGACAGGAAAACATATCTCAGGAAAAAAGAATTTCTTTACTTGAACAAAAAATAGATACTTCTTGATCATTCTTGATTCCCAGAAAAAAAATTGCAATACCGTGTGTATGTAATCATGTATTGCAATAAGCACATGTTACATGATAGATGCTCTTAGGTCTCTCAAATTTTGCCAAGTTTGTGATGATTGAAAATATGATACAGACACCTCAAGAACTTAATTAGTGTGATTAGTAGTAATTTTAGTTGGTCAATTATTTAGTCAGTAAATTATAAATAAATTTAGCACTTAACTTTTGTGACTTAAGATTTTCTTATACCTTTCCCACCAACTGAATGTCAAACTTTTGTCTCTCTTCCGTTCCACTTCCCCAAACCTTCATACCCCTCAAAAATTAAGATGTGGAAGGAGAAAGTGGGCTGGAACTAATTTAATGGCTGAGCGACCTCACAGTAGAGAAACAGCCGGAGCCTAATAGGGGTCTTTGTCTGCATTTCCACCCTGGCTGGTAACGTGCCAGTCAAGCAAGAGAAACAGGTGGAAACTATTAGACCTGTCATAAAGTTTGAAAAATTGATTCTGGAGGCTAAGTGAATAGATTGAACTTGACAGTGTTGTCCTAAAGATTCTAAGGGAAAATTCTGTAGTTTAATTTGGGAAACCTTGATTGTTCATTAGCTCTCCAGATGGCAGGTCTTGGCGGTTTGCATATTAACATACACACTGTATTATCACTGATGTACATTTATGTGTCCGAAGGTAACAAATGAAGTATGAATTCACCTGTAGGTATGTAAAATTAAATTACATTTGTCTAATTGTAAAACAAAGATTTGTTTAAATGTCATATAGTTTTTAAGATCAGTATTGTTTTTATGATTTCATGCTAAAAGCTTTATTTGAATCATTTGAGACTATTTTTAAAAGCATTGCCATTTTTTATTTCTTAAACTAAAATTTAAAATCCTTACCAAAGATTAGAACCTCCCTTGCTTTTTCTGTAAATGGAATTTATTTCTATAAATTTCATCTCAGAAACCTTGTCTTCAAAGATATTTATCCTAATGCCACCTGAACAGGCTAACCTTGTGAGAAGCAGTTCCACTGTCTCTGTCTCCTCTCCTCAGAGCATGCCTGGGATTGCATGATTTAAGATGAAACCATTATTTTTGAGAATGCATCTGGTATACTGATAAAAGTGTTACATTATAAAGACATACTTATTAGACTCACAAGACTTGAGATTGATAAAGAAATATTTCTTCCACACTCTAATTGGCTGGAATGGTTTCACAAGCATTTCATTAAAAAATAAATTAATTAGATATACCTTACAGTTTTATTCTTTACTGGCACCTTATATCCTGTTTTAATGTTTTAGTTGGCAGAAGATTTGATTTCTACATGATTAAGCCAGCACGTGATATATTCTATATGAAATGCCATTGTGGATCCTGTTTCCTCAATATTTAAGAAGCACAAAGTGCCGTTGTTAGGAAGAGTGTCAAAACACAAAAATGGTGAATTTTAGTGGAAATGAAATGTGGGATGAAGTTCCTTTCATAATTGCTGAATAGGATATTTAAATAAAATGTCAACTTAGAATAAACAGTTTCCAAATAATTAAAAGCTTTGAAAAAGAAAATCCTTTATATTGTTGGTACCCTTTTAGTTTTTCTCTATGCTTTTCTAGATTCATGTTGTTGAATTTTTAAAAATTGTGCTTCGGGTCTAATTGTGGAAAGTGACCATAAGGACTAATTTTATTTTAAAACTCGTGTTTTAGTTGTATTCAAATATGCATGCTGCTAATGCACGTATGAGTTAGTGAAAAGTAAGAGTAGAATATAGTTGAAGGAGATTGGCACGGCACTTCAGAGGCACAAGCAAACAAGCTGAGATTGTCAAACTGTATTTTGTACACAGTGATTTTTAAAAAATTTTTTTTCCTAAATCCTTGTGATGTTTTACTCTATGTAAACTGAGTGGCCTCGTGTTAGTCATTCCATGCACCCCAGTGATCTTCCTTATTCTCTGTTTAAACTACATTTTTTTAGAAGCAAATTAGAATCAGATAAGCTGTGGGGTGAGGTGAAATGTGGTTTGAAGATAGAAACTTGGCATTAACATAGCCTTTGTAAAATATGCCATACAGTCACAGTGCTTGTTTTCATTCGATCATCAGGCATACCTGTTTGAAGCCTCCCCTCTCAGATACTTACCTCAGAATTCCATTAGGACTGTAACTACAAGCCAGAATTATTATTCTTACAACTATTGGCTCAACTTGCCAAAATGCCATGGTGGGCAGGAAGAAGGCTTTTCTCTCAGGAAATAGGCATTGCTGTTGGATGCTTAAAAAATGTGTGCTGATAAATTGGTCAGTTGCATTTAAATGGTGTACACATCTTATACATAACCTCTTCTACAGGTACCTAACCAGAAATATTTTATCAGTTTGGATAATGAGTACTTTGTGCAGAGAGCTCTCACATAGTTCATTTTGCTTTTAAAAGTTTAGATCTCTTAGTTTTGTTTGTCTGTTAAACTGCAGTGTGGGATAGGAGTGCTTTACCCGATGAATGTGTAGCCTAAAAAGTTAGATACTAGTGGAGATAGATCTGCTCTTTGGGGCATTTTATGCTTTTAATCTACATTCCTCTCATTTAATTTAGCTTTGATATAGTACCATTTGTTCTTTACATCATTGGGGTTACTAACTTTTAAACTTCCAATTTTTTAAATTTAGGGAGTTGAGGGCT